AAAAAAGTTATCGTGCGATTAATTGATTTATTGACTATCGCGACAGGCCTAATTGTCACCCGCCACCAGTTATTGAGAAGGCTGCTACAATAACATCACACATAGCAGTGCTGCGAGAGGTGTCCCCCATGAAGCACAACGTAATGTTCCAAATGTATTCAGGCTATTTAAACCGGTATGTCTGGTATTCAGATTATTTATATAACAAAAATACAAAAATGTTTTTGGTATGAAACGGTATACTGCCCAGCTCTACTTTATCAACAACAAATATTATAGCTAATGTATTTTTTGGACTATAAGTCACTGAAGTAGGGCTGCAACTAACGAATATTATAATAATTAATTAATCGTTCAATTGTTTTTTTTTCAATTATTTGTTGAATCGAAAAAAAAAACACTTTTAGTTTTGACCATTTCAAAATAAAATATTTGAACTGCAGTTCAAACAGTTTTCCAATAAACAGTTTTAAAATTACTTTATTGATGCTCCTTTAATGAAAAATCTACAACAAACAAAAGAAAAAGACAAAGAAGCAGCCGAACTAGCAATCCTCAACAACTTTTTAACTTTTACACCAGGAGCCAAAGGTCTGTTTCAGGAAATCACATCCCCAGCAATCGGTGGTTGTAGAATTAAGCTGTACAAGGGTTCGTACAGCGTTAGTGGGCAGCATTGTGCATATACAGTATTGTCCATGAATTGTTGCCAGCTAGTAAGTGTCAAAATGAACCTGCGCTTTAAAATTAGCTTCTGCTAATATTTCTATGGCATAAGCACTTTTGATGTTGCGGAACTAAATATTTTCACAAGCGCTTTAGAAATAGCTGAACTAATTTTTGAATTAGCGGTGCCCACCACTGTAAGTCAATAAAGGCCTTGTTTTATTTGCAGTATTGGGTTAAAGGGGCAATATCAACTAAAATCAACTTTTTTTCGGTTTTATATCATGTTATAATGTTAAACTCTCATAAAAACATGCCCAAAGCCTTGCTTTGACTCATTCATGCATGTTTGAGAAATCCTGCAGCGTTTTTAGGAAGCCATGCTGAGTTGCAAAACGACAGGTGGGGACCAGAAACACCTGGTAACAGAAACGCCCCTGGGACGTGTCTTTAAGCCGAACTTCCTCATGGCAGAGTGCACCCCCTCCCCTCCCACCCCACCCATGACTCCTGCAGGCTCTTGGGTGAAAGTGAAACTTAACTGTCTGCTGAGCTCTCAACACAACATTAGTTCACATTCAGTGAAGCTCTTTTCAGATTCAAAATACCTTTGAGGAAATGTATTTTCAGATGCCAAGTAAACTACATCATAAAGC